CATAAAATTATTTTCATTTGTAATAATATTATCACATTAGAAAAGTCGTAAGAAAGAAAAAAGAAAATGCATCCTCATGCGAGATAAACAAAATATTTGCGCCGTTCGCTAATAGAACGTTACAAGCCAGAGTTTGTCGTTTCGAGGAAACGTGATTTAGATTAGCACAGGTAATAACGAACGAACGGCTCATTGTGCGAATTTCCAATTTGCGTATGTACTACTATGAAAGCTTGTAATTCTACCGTATTTTCATTGATCAATTCGCTATGCGATGAAATTTATCATGATAATGAAAAAGATATTTTACTTACAACTCTTTCGCAAAATTTTCCCTCGATACAACTTTTTATTTGTGTATCGCACGCTTGTTTCTTCTCCTTCAGCTTTCTCAGGACACAAACTTTCGATGGGCACTATACTAATTTTTTGTATGCCCTTCCAAAAAATCAGAGCAAACATTTTGTTTGTCTTTACCTCAATGCAAAATATAAAACTTTTTCTCAATGCAAAATCTATTGACAAGCGAGCAAAATGTTAACCTGTAAGCGTAGCAAGATACATAACAACAACGTGACGTTTGCAGCTATGATGTGTTCGATAAAGTTTGTTTATTGACAGGCATTCACACATAAAATAAAAAATGTTGTAAAAAGTACACATACTTACTCGTTATAAAAAATGCCAAAGCGTGCTTTAAGTTTTAGTAATTTTTCGCTTGAAATCCAAAAACGTTCCAAAAAGCTATTTTTCAATACTCTGCATGAACCGATTTTCGAACAACCCCTAGAAAGCGAGTGCACTTTACTAGATGTAGATGTAAGTCGTTTTGAGATTTAACAACAAATAATGACTGACTATATACTTATGAAATTATACTTATATTTGAAAAATATTTCTATAGAATCACTCACATCAAGAAAATCTACTAGTAGAAGAAAACATCGAGCAAAATGTCGCTGATAATCTCGATAACCTTTGTAATGGGGAAAATAATGAAATAATTCCACAGATGAATCGTTTTAATTACGGTGTGTACTCATTATTTTACTCACGTGCACGTATTCGCTACTGCTCGCGATTCGTTATTTTATTAGATGCATTCAATACTGCCTTATACTCATAACGCAATTATTTTAAAACAACTTTATTTACAACTTACACCTATAAATTTTATTTTATTTATAATGAAAATAACCAAACAAAATTTAAATGCGCTCATGCAACCATAATCGCGCGCTTGATCGCGCGCTTGATCGCGCGTATGTATGTACCCATCGAGAAATTCTATGCACACATGTAAACTCCGCTGCGTCCTTATCAATTATGATTATATTATAATTTAACCTCGCTATTATAATTTTTATGATAGATTTATACAGAGATTGTGAGAGTGATGAAGATAGTGTTGACTGTAGTGATGAAGACGGGAATGAAGACGATGAATGGAGCGATGCGCGCAGTACTTTCGATGAAACTGAAAAAAGAGAATATTTAAACTCCGAGCTTTACCCTGGAGCACCTATTACAGTCGCCGAATTTCTTTTATGCGTTTCTGCGATAAAACTACGACATAAGGCATCGGATGAAATTATCAAAGATTTTCTTGCGTTAGTAGATATAATTTGCATAACACCGCATAAATGTCCTACTAGCTTATACAAATTTAAACAGTTTTTTTATAGTACAGACGTACCGATAAAAAAACATTATTACTGTCCAAAATGTATTACATTGATTAATAATTCCGAAACTGATTTACATAATGATGAATCTATCGATAATGAGGCTATTTTAGACAATATTTATAATTGCGGTTGTACTGATTTTGACAAAGACAGTTATTTTATAGAAATCCCGTTAATTTCTCAACTAGAGTATTTTTTTAAATGTTCTGGTAATTACGGTAAAATTAATCGTACTCGAGTAACAGAGTCAACAGGCGTAGATTTACAAGAAAATGTCGATGAAATTACGTACAAAGATATTGACGATGGAAGTATATATAAAGAACTATCGCAAGAAAATGGAATTTTATCTTATGAAAATAGTCTTGCTTTTATGTGGTATACAGATGGTATTCAGATTTTTAAATCATCGAAATACAGCATTTGGGCTTTTTATTTAATTATTTTAAATCTTCCTTTCGAAGAACGTTACAGAATTCAAAATATGATTTTAGCTGCTTTGTGGTTCGGAGATAAAAAGCCTGATCCTAATTTATTTTTAAACCCGTTAAAAAAACCGTTGAAAAATTTGTTTAAAGGCGTAAATATGTACGTGAAAGATTTGAATGATATAATAACATTTCGAGAAATCATTATTTGCGGTACAGCAGATTTACCAGCTAAATCTCTATTTCTACAAATGAATCAATATAATGGTAAATTTGGCTGTCAAGTGTGCACTGATGAAGGCGAAACAGTTGATCGTAGACGCGTTTATAAGCATACGGACAATTTTAAAATTAGGACAGAAGCTGATACTTTTGAACATGCACAAGAAGCGTTAGATAGAAAAGTAGCAGTTTTCGGTGTGAAAGGACCAACTGTAATAAGTAAAATTTGCTATAACTTTATTACTTCCACAATCGTCGATATTATGCACTGTCTTTTTCAAGGTCAAACGAAAAAAATGTTAGAATTGTAGTTCGATCCTAAATACAAAAATGAAAATTTTTCGATTTACGTATTTGTAGATGTAGTTGATTACAGATTATGTTCTATAAAGCCACCCTCGCATGTACAACGACGACCTAGGCCTATAAAAACACACCTTAGTTATTGGAAATCATCAAATTTGAAAGATTGGCTACTTTATTACGCTCTACCTACTTTAAATGGCATTTTACCCACTCAATATTATGATCATTTTAAATTATTAGTATTCGTTTAATACGTTTTATGTCAAGAGAAAATTACAAGCCGCGCGTTACGTTTGGCTGAGACAGCCATAAACAAATTTTCTTTGCAATTCGAATATTTATATGGGCTTACACACATGTCGTGCAATTTACACAGTCTTCGTCACTTACCTGCCGGAGTTCGAAAGACTGGTCCTTGTAAGGTTACATCTTGCTTCCCTCTCGAAGATTTAAATGAAAAATTAAAAGCATTAATACATGGGAGTAAATCGCCACATTTACAAATAGTATTTAATTTAAGTTTGTACATAAAAATGTATGTTATGAAAAATGATTGGCTAAACAAAAATAGCAGAGCGTCTGCCTTTTGTAAATCGCTTTTATCACCAATGAAAAAACTAATACTGCATAATGTAAATAGTATATATAGTATCGTTGGTCCTGTTTCAAAATTGAAAAAAAATACTCCTTATAAAAATCTTATTACAAACTATTTTGTTGACAGTAATATTTTTGTTTTTAAAAGATTATACAAAGAAAGAATATTATACAGTTCAGAAGTATATCACAATGAGAAAAAAACGCAATCTTACTACGTAAAGTATTTAAGTAACGATGAACTTAGGCTAGGTATAATAAAAATTCTAGTACGTGTGACTACTTGTAAATGTAAAAATTTTTGTGAATGCAATGCAAGGTGTTTTGCTCTAATAGAAAATCTTGAATTTACGCATCCATTTTCTGTAAACTTACAGAACACAGAATTATTTTTCATCCATGCGTGCACGCGTACTTTCAATACCGTAATCGTAGATGTAAGAAACTTAAAATATGTATGTTTTCACGTATTTATAAAAGATAGAAATATCTCTTATGTGATTGACCCTGTAAGCACATTCGAATACGAATAAATGTTAATAAAAGGTTGTAAAATAAAAATTCATTTATAAGGTTGTCATGCAAAAAACATTAAAAAAATTAACTAATATTACAAAACGAAGCATTACGGTTCCTTTAATCACTTGTACCTTGTATTTCTCGTCTCCCGATGTATTATAATAACTTAGAAATATTTAGAATCAAAATAAAAACTGAACTGTTGGCAATATTTTTCAAATCAAATATCAATATATTAGCAATATGTTGGCGCAAGGTTTGCAATACTTTTGTAACATGTTGCCGAAATGTTGCTAAGTGGTCTGAAGCACCATATTGCTAATATGTTGCCAATACCTGATCCAAAATGTTGGCAACATATTGCCCATAAGTGTGGGAAAAATATTGGCAATATATTGCCCATAGGTCAAATTATTACGCGGGATGGCTATAGAATTGTTTACAAAGAATCCATTGTTTGAAAAATTAAATATTTTTGGCACTAGATTGATTATGGATAATGATTCAAGCACTATTGCAGGGTTGCGTAAAGTAGCGGAACATAGTATTGAACTGTGGGCCGATAAAAATCATACTATTAAAGCCTTTGCGAGCTCACTTCACGCATTGTCTGTCTCGAAAAATTTAGTAGACTACTTCCAAGATAATTTGAGTGGAGTTATTGCAGAAAGTAAAGGTCAAGTCGATGTTCTGAGGGCTAAAATGAAAGTAATCGTTCCCCATGCACTTGGGGACCATACACTGTGTACTTTTCATGAAAATAATGAAAATTACGAGTATAAGAGATTGCCCGGAAAAAAACCACTTCAAAATGAAGATTTGAGAGTATCTCTGGATGAGCTGATGACTCGCTATATAAACAACGCAGAAAAAATTGCTCCTGCTGATTCGACGCAAGCAAACGAATCCTTCAACCACTTAGTCGCTTCAAAATGCCCAAAGACAAAGCATTTCTCTGGATCGGAGTCGTTCCCTTTTCGAGTTGCTGCAGCAGTTTGTCATAAAAATTTAGGACCTAGCTATATTAATAGAGTATTCCAAATGCTGATAATGAGTCCAGTCAAAACTACTTTGAAATATAGATTAATAAAACAAGCCAAGACTATAAGAAAAAAGTTGTTTGCGAATAGCCGCTTAGGAAAATTACGCAGGAAGGCACTCAAAATTGCTCGAGCGTCCAAATCTACTAACATCAAACGCAAAGAAAATTATATGAAAGTAATATAGGGTTGAAAATTATATGAAAGTTACATATGAAAGTAATATAGGGTTGAGCGGCATACTGGACATTCCTTGCGATGCACCTCTGATGACTGGTACTCCATCTGTGCCTAAAACAGTAGCCTCTAGTAATGCTTTGAATGAGATAGGTAATATGAAGATTGTATATATAGACACCGAAACGACTGGTTTCAGTTTAGATAAAGATCAGATTTGTCAGGTTTAATACTATTTTACTGTAACTACACTTCTTTTGTACTTTTATTAAATGCATAACAGAAATTTATTAATATTTAGATTGCCGCTTTTAATGGAGACACATCATATGATGCCCATGTAGTTCCGACAGTGCCAATTAAATCAATGGCAGCATTGAAAACTGGACTTTCCGTTAAAAAGGGAAGTTTATATTGTAGGGGAGAGAAATTGAATTGTGTGTCCAGAGAATCTGCTGTTAAAGGACTACTTGATTATTTAAAAACCTTTAAACTAAATGCTCAAAATCCAAAAATTATTTTAGTTGGGCATAACGTTATAAAGTAATTTATTTTCATTAGTTAGAATTACATATCTCGTGTACTATTTCATTCGTTGTGATAATTTATTTTAGATTTGATGCTGAGAGGATTGAAAAATTACTCACTCAATTTCAACTGTATGACGAATTTTTGAATATAGTTTATGGATATGCTGATACAGTTGAAGTATTCAAAAAAAAATTACCAGAAAGGGTAAAACAGAAACTTTCTTTCGCTGAAGAGGCTCTAGTCAAAGAATATTTGCCTCAAGAGAATACTGCTAATTTGCATGACGCTTTACATGATATAAAAACATTAAAACATCTAGTCGATTCTGTTAAAATATCAAATCAAGATATTATTCAAAATTGTAAGAGCACTAGTCAAATAAAAGAAGCTCAAACAATTTTACAACGAAGAAAAATACAAAAGTTAGCTATAGAAAACAATAAGCAACAATTAAAAGTATTACAAGATGTTGTGAAATCTAATATTATTTATAAAATGGCCAAAGAAGGCATTACTGAAGAAGTACTGAAAACTGCCTATTCCAAAGATAAAAAAGATGGTGTGAAAGTATTGCTATCCATGAGTGTAAATGGAAAAGTTAGAGTTACTTCAAATACAAAAATTATTAACGCAATTTCTAACAAAATAAAGGAAATTTGTTCATGAAAAATTTTGTTTGTTGTCCGTATTTCTTGAAAAATGAATGTGCAAAATTTATTAATTAATTTTAAAGTATATTTTTCAAAACTGTTACTAAAGTCATGAAAAATTTAAATAATTCAAAAAGTGCGCGCTTTACGCTTCTGCGGCAGTACAAACATGGCGTCGTTGCACATACCGGGTGTCCGACAAAACATTTAGTTTTGCGTTATATTTTATTAATTCTCTCGATATTTTTCACCGTTACCCCTATTTTCCGATAAACGATTTAAAAGTTCAAGACTTTAGCTACAAGTACGTATATTTTTTATTGGGTAACTACTCGATTACGGTCGGTTAATTATCAATTTTCAACCTCATTCTCACTCCGCTCCATAAGAGCCCATGTTAAAAGTGCAGACTTTGAGCTCGAATATTTCGAACTTTTCCACGGCTTAAGGGATAAAGGAGGATACCGTTGGATTCAGCGCATTTTCATCTATCGAAATCACTATAACTAACATCGAAACTTTTCAACACCCCTCGCTGGAGCCTCCTTAATCCAAGCAAAAATCAACTGTTAAAAGAAATTATTATAAAATAAATATTAATTTCACAATCTCAATAGACAAATTTAAATTACAACTAATTTTTGTAACCTTTATAATAATTAACTTAAGTTCGTATTTTTATATGATTGATGTATTTGTATAAACTGAAATCGGTGCTATGAGAATAATGTCTATATTTGTTATAGTTTTTGAGATAGTATAATTTATTTATTAAAATTGTTGATAAATTTTGATAGATATTTTGAGGTATTTTATCATCGAAATTCGGTTTCAGGGTACGAAAAATATAAATAAAAATTATATTTATGTGGAGATCTGTCAATGCCCGTACAACATACTGGTGTTCTCAATTAATTATTAGTCGAAAAATCATGTCCGTCATTTGAGTGTTATACTGAGCGCGCCATGGTTACAGCACTATGCATGCTGCGCTATGGTATAGATGATGTAATTGAGTGATACTTTTGGTTTGAATTAAAAAATAAAAATTATATTATTTTTTAGTGACATCGATACATAAAAATGTTCACCTCGCCCTTCAAACTGACAGATTCAATACTTTAACATAAGTATTTAGTGATAAAGATTTCATAGTCTAGATGTATACGAGTTCAAATACGATCAACGCCTCAATAATTTTATGCCGTTTTAATCTCAGCATTTCATATTTTATTTTGAAATCTTATTTTCCATCGCTGAGACAAAGTGCACTTTGTTTTCAAGTTGTAACGACTCTTTTTCATCACTAGGACAGTAGAAACAAAAAATCTGACAAAATAATGTCCCAATGCTGAATAAGAATCATTCAAGCTTGAAGCTGATTTCCATTGCTCGGACTTTGTCTCAACAATGGAAATTAAGTTTTCAAACTAAAATATTTAATGCTGGGATTGCAACAGCGCAAAATCATTGATACGTTAGGCATGTTTAGGCTCATGCACATCTAGGTTATAAAGTAAATATTGTTTCTTTTTCTTTTAAATTGAACCTGTTAGTTAAGGGGACCGGTTAAATATTTTTATATATTGATGTAGCCGAAGAAAAAAATATGATTCTTATCTATTTTCCGCTATTAATCCAAAAGTACCATTTTATGACATTAATTCCATTAGATTAATTCAACGTTTTAACTGCTGATGTAATTTATTTATAATTTTACATAGATAATAAGAAATATCTAAAGAGTCTTGAAGTATTTACCAATGGGATTACACAATCTGGATATCAAGGTTCATAAATGTATAATTAAAGAAAACTAAATAAAATAAAACTTTTATTTTTAATAATAGGTAAAGTAGGAGTAAAAAACGAAGAGAAATGAGAGACAAACAAGAAGGGAGAAAGAGAAAAAAAGGGAAAAGAGGTTAAAGGAGGTGAATAAAGGGAGAAGAAATCGAGGGAAAAGAAAAAGAAGTAGAGGAATATGAAATAGGAGGAGGAGAAGGTAACAGAAAAGAGATAGGAGGAAAAAAAGAATCGAAAAAAGGAAAGAAAAAGGAGAAGGAAAAACGGGAAAAGAAATAGAGGAAGTCGGAGAAAAAAAAAGAAAAGAAAGAGTGGAAATAAAAAGGATGGGAGAGAAAGAAAAAAAAGAAAAAAAATTAAACAAAAAAGAGAAGAAAATAAGAAGCTGGTGCTGATGAAAAGATTATTTTAAAATAGATCTTGAGACAAGACATTACTTATTGCGAACCGAAGACTGGAAACGTATTAATGCACATACGTATATACATAGATACAGTTAAATAAAAAACACTGCATCATACATTCATTAATAGTTGTAATATACTTGTAACGTGTCGCTTTGGAGAGGCGCGCAGATCGGGAGTTGAATGAGCGATCGATGGCTCTATTCTGGTGCGCCACCGTCGGTCATTGCCGCCCGTTTAGCTTCGTCTGGGTTCAGGAGAAGGAAGTCGCTCGCTGTCCACGGTCCGAGACACAGCATCTCATCTGGTGGCCGTTTGACGCTCCTGGAAGACGACTATTCTTGGGGGCGCTCTCTCGATTACGGCCCTATTATTCTGGAAATAATCCGTTGCTCGAGATCACTACCAGTGCGCGTATTTTGACAAGCGTGTTCTCAGTATGAGCGCATCCATCCTCGTGTCCACTAAAGGATTGTACGACGAGGATAATATTGTAACAGCATAATATTGTAAGAATAAATGTGAATCCGGAATCCAGCGAAGTTGGTAATAAATGTTAGCAATTTCCTAGTTATATGTGTATAATTTTGAAACTTCACCTCGCTACGCGTCGCCTTCAAAGTCACTCTTTGCCAGACAAATAATTCAATTATAGTTATATTTTATATATTTATAAACATAGAAATTTACACACTCTTTTAACAATATTTTTAGATACTATTAGTGGAAAGCGTAGATGCCTACATTTTGAAAGTAGAAATTAAGAGCATCCAAAAAACGTTTGGAAAAAATAACCATCGTATGGTAACCAAACTGATGATTTCTGATAAAAAAAAGAGAGTTGATCGAGGTGACACTATCTGACAAAGGGAAAACTTAACAAATTCCAACGTCGATTTTCAAAGGAGTTATTAGTACACACTGATATCACGTAGGTATATTTATTGTACTGAATTTAAAAATCTAAACATTTTCTATTATTTTAGATTTTTGCTAGCAAGGCAGTTGATGAAGACCAGAAAATTGCACGAGACAAATATAGATTGCTGCTCTTAAAAATATGCAATAACTTACGTTATTATTAGTTCGAGTTGATTTAAAATAATGTTCAATAAGTAAATATCGTAATTTAGTTAATAAAAAAACAAGTATATAAATTGAAGCCTATAAATAAAAATTGAAAAAGTTAGGATAATTCATTAATACAATATGTAAAAAAACAATATAATAATAACCTAATGATCCAATATCCACAATAACTCAAGATCCAATAATCTAACAACCTAGTAATTCAATGACCCTAACGCCTTCAAAAAAGTCCTCAAAAAAGTACACGGAAAGATGAAATCTATAGGATTAAGATGTGGTAATCGAGAAGGCCATAAAATTGTACCTTCTTGACCGATCAACCTATCTGGAAACAAAAAGGGAGATTGCTAAAGAGTATGGGATGCCTTCAGCAAAACATCATTAAGCCAAGAACTAGCAAACTTAGTGGCCAGCTCATGAACAGTGTCCCTCTAACAAGGGAATCACCCAAACCCGACCTCATCGATTTGAATGATTTTGGGATATATTGTAGTACCTGAAAAAAAATTAGATACGTCTTTTTTTTATCGGCCCATAAGGGCTTATAAGGGATGAAATCCACCCTGAAAATCAACTCCTAAAATGAGTTTTTTTAATATTTCTCAGCATCAAATGAATATTTTTCAGTAAACTCAACGTTAAAAAATTTCTTATAAAAAGGCGCTTTTAAGGACATAACATTTATACCGAAGGGTTGCAACCCCCTTTTTAATAGGCGTAAACACACTATTTTTCGTACTGTTTTACAACACGTAATACAGTAAATCAGCTCGAGTGATTTAAAAATCGCACTGATCATGAGAAAATACCAAAATTAAATTAACGTGTTTCCGGATTTAAAAAAAAATATATTCAAGGGGTGTTTCACCCCCTAGAAACCACCCCCGTCAAACTATCAGCAGGTTAATCCACCTAACCCTGGGATAAACAAGTTTAGTCGTTTGGTATTTCTTGAAATAATTTAATCCTATGCATGAGCGAGCTACCTCAACTAACCAACCTGCCTCTAACCTACCAAACATCCATGAACCACCCTTACCGAACCACATGCAGGCTAACCCACCTAATATTGTGAAAAGCAACTTTAGTCGTTTGTTATTTCTTGAAATAATTGAATTTTACACCATAAGCGAGTTATCCCAGCTGTATAACATACCTCTTATCCACCTACCCCTAACCTATCTAACCCCCACCCTTATAAACCACCCTTACTAAAACACAAGCAGGCTAAATCTCCTAATCCTGGGAAACACGAGTTAAGTCGTTTGTTATTTCCTGAAATAATTTAATCCTACACCTGAGCGAGCTACCTCAACTGACAAACCTGCCTCTAACCCACCAAACCCCCATAAACCATCCTTACCCAACCAAATGTAGGCTGATAGACCTTACTTTGGGACAATTGAGTTTATCAGTTGCTTTTTCTTAAAATAATTGATTGCTACACCGTACGTGAGGTATCCCATTTTCTTTTGATAAAATACGAGGTTTGTCCGGAAAGTATCGGGCCTACTTTTATATTTTTGTGCTAGCGTTATTCCTTATCATCTGGTGGGTGGCATCCTTTATAGTAATCCCCACTTGATTGAATAACACGGTTCCATCGATGTTTGCACTTTTCAAAACAGTCCTGGAA